AAGCCATTTAACTCACAGGTCAAGTTCAAATATCCTTCATCATTTGACATTGATAAAAAAATATAAATTAACAATTTAGTCATCTCCAAGCTAAGCTGTGAATAAAAGATTTAATAGTATATTTTAGATTTTTTATATGAGTTTTAAATTTTAAAGGTGTTAATAATGAAAAGTAATGATATTCTAAGTATAAATAGGGTGTTTAGCTTCTTTTTTTTTTAATTCATTATTTCCGATTTTTTGTATCAACCAATATACTAGTGTTAACCTTAAGGTTAGGTTTATTAACAACAAGTATTATTTTTTAAGTTAGACTTAAATTTAAATATTAGAGTTAGCAGCACCGAGTCCTTTGGACCAAATGGCAAAAGTCACCTACGGTGCATTCCCCCTTTCCCAAGTTAGGGTTTGAACCCAACCCTTGTAAAATATGTTAAAAAAAAAATATTAGAGTTAGCATTAAAAAAATTAATCTTTTTAAATACAAAAGCAAATACGGAGATTGAGTCATTAAAGTCGTGCGAGAAAAGATTAGTTTTACCGGCCTTCCCATAGGCCCATTGGCTAAGTACTTGAACTTAAGCTTCTGAGTTCAAGTGTTATGAGTCATGGGTCTTGGGTTCAAGGACTGGCAAGAGAAACAAAAAGAAAAGATTAGTTTTGAAGTATCTAAAACTAATTAAAAAACAATTGATTATAAATAAAAAATCAAATAAATAAATGAAAGAATTCCATATTTTGTAATTAACACTATATTATCTCAAAAAATAAAAGTAATTGTTAAATAAAAAGATATTTCTCAATATAGCATGGTAAATATTGCATTATTGATCTTAATCTTAAATTAAAATATTTTAATTAATAAGTATCAATTCGATTAAACTCTTATTAGTATTAATTCTTATATAATAGTTTAAATTGTGAATGATGATAATAAAAAATATGAGATAATTATTTTTGATTATGTAATTTAAGATAAAAAAATAAATTATATCGTTTAAATTGTGTAATATCCTTCTATGAATAAATAAATAAAACAATTTGTTTCCAAGTCGAGATTTGGTTGAACTGGTCTAAATGAATAGGTTGGGTGGACTTTTAAAACACTGTAAAATATATTTTTTAATATGAATATATTGTGAAAATATTTACATATTTTTATTAAAAATTGTACTTTCTTTTGTTCAGTATGAAAAAAAAAAAAAAAAAACCATTGTTGTGAATAAATAAAATACGTAAACAAATAAATTTTCCTAAAAAAAAAAAACGTAAATAAATAAACGCTAAATCCCAAGGGAGGATAACCCAAGTTTCAGGCCCCAACTTATCCTTTTGCCGCTTTTAGTCCTTAAACTTGTTTTTATTTTATTTTATTTTTAAGATTAAAGCCCTAAAAAAGTGCCCTAACAACTAAAGAAAGAAGTCGTATATCTAATTGTGGCGTTCCCCCGTTTGTATGATCTCTATCAGAGTCACAATGCATCAGCTTTTCTTGTAAGATATGACAAAGTAACAATCGACAACTATGTGAATTTTTTTTTTCTTTTGTTTAAATTGTTAAATTCATGTAATTTTAATTGTACTTTTTGTTAATGCCACAAAATTTTAATTGATATTTTATCAATTTAGTTATTAGAACCAATTAGGAGTTGATACATTAATTTTTTTTGACTGAAACTATAAGAGTTGATACAACAATTAATATTTATTATTTAATATATTAAAATCAATTTACAAATAAATCCTTTTAAACATCATAATTATTATTTTTTAAAAAATATATAAAATTATGTAACCTTAATAAAAATGTGTGACAACAACCACCACCATCAAATATATACAAACAGAACGTACAACCAATTATCATAAATTTACATTTAGTGATCAACAAAACCTTCAAAGTGTTATACTGTTTGATAGCCCGTTGTTAGGGACATTTCTCCTTGCAAAGTATGTCTAGCCAATCATAAGACTTGCTATCTTTTCTGGGGATAAAATGAGGAAAATCAAAGGCGAAGATGACTGCACAAAGGGACTTGATCTCTACAAAAGTAATTTTGATTTCCCATGGAAGCATTTAATTGTTCTTTCTTAGTAGCCCCCACCACTATTTTCTTGGTGCAAACTACCTCAACATGTTACTGTCGTCTTCTTTGGGAACTTTCAGAGTTCATAGACCTCAGCCATATGACAACCGGATGAAGCAAGTTTTAAAAAATGATGGAAGAAAAAACGGAAGTGCAAATTCAAGACAGATACTCCTTTGTTGCATTTGGTTAAAATGACTGTTAATCACGATGTGGGTCTCATGCGAACAATGACTGAAATAAATTTAGCCTTCGTTCGGCCTCTTTTCTAGTCCATCAACCAATCATGATTTCGGACATAAATCATGATGAGACTCATCGTTTTCTTAATGTCCTATCTTTTGCTAAAAAGTTCAACATCTGAGATGGAATGAGGTGCACACATATTTGGGACCAGATAGAAAGGAAAAATGTCACGGTGTATCAAAAAGTAAACACCCACTAGAGCAGTTCAATGGATGTATTGTGGTTCATGCTAGCCAAGTCTTTAGCACATGATGTAGCACATTTAGCTTCAGAAGATATTTCTAATGTTCTCTGGGTACTTGCCGTTCAGGAGAAAAAAAAAAACTGTTATCTGGGTACGTCTTCACTGCCTTCAATTTGTGTACCCTGAAATTTCTTTAATGGGAAGTGAAATCTATGGATTGAATGCCAAAAAAAAAAAAAACACTGTTGCTTCCAGGTCATACCATCTTCCACCCAACATGGAAGGAGTTTTATTTTGCACTCAATCCATAGAACACTGACAAAATTAGAAATGCTCTGTACCAGAAAATCTCACACATGCATGTGAATATTTCCATACTAAGATATATGTATCTTTGAGAGGGTGGCGAAGGACCAAATTTAAATCATGATGTCACAATGAGTGTGCATAGAATCTCAAACCAAAGAGTCAAATGCATACAATTGTTCAATGGTCCACAACTAAATCCTGCACTTTTGTTCTAATACCTTGAAGCAATAAGATCCAGTCTGTAGATCTTACAACTGGGACATGGGATTTCTTAACGAAAGAAATAAAGATTCAGCAACCACAACAAAAGAGCACCATTTGAACACGATCTTGACACTTGACCCTGATTGACTTATTAAAGTAAAATATAAGAGACAAAAACAACATTTAAGAGACAGTGAAACCTGAAACCTGGAAAATATAAACTCATGTTATGAACACCAAGCAAGGAACCCCAACCATTTTATCCAGACGAGTTTACTGTTCACATATTCAGAAATAAGTACATCAAAGATCTTGAATTTTGACCTAAATATTGACAAAGTAATCATTGCAACCACAGTGCCTCTTCTACATGAACAGCCATTTTTTTGGTAAGGACAATTTCCCTACCAACATTTCCATTTGTGCACGATGTAAAAATTGTCCTCAGGCACAATAACAATGTAAGGAAACAGAATAAAGGAGAACACAAACCGTGGTGCGATTCTACCATGCAAATGCTGGCAACATATATGTTGGATGTGCATCATATTTGGCAGCAAGGGTCTTTATAGAAGATAAGTCTGCAACTTGCCCAAAGCTACTGAGTCCAAGCTCAGTTGCATGGATCCCTCCAGTGATGAATGCCGAAGCGATTCCAGCCTCATTTGCACCCTTAATCTCACGATGAAGGGAATCACCCACAGCTATAGAATCAGAAGCATCCACACCAACCATTGCCATAGCTGATTTGTATATTATCTGATGAAAGTTCAGAAAGGAGTAAATATAATCTTTGAAATCCATTTCACTTCAACCCCAAACATGTAATGTAAAGATAAACTGCAATGTTAGAAGGGCAGGAATATATTCCAAGGGAAATAGGAAACAGATCATATTACTTTATCTGGCTTCCCCATCCATTTCACTTCACCCCCAAGCTTTTCATATTTGGCAGCCAATGTACCTAAAACATAGACACTAGCATCAAACCATTAAACCCAGGAGCCATAAAGGGGATAGCTATAATTGAAAGCTGATTCTCACAAAGAAAAGTAGAACCCACAAAAAGGTACTTTAACACATGAACAGAAAAGAAACTCCTGTAGTGCTGCCACACAAAATGCTTAGGAGACTTAGGAGACTTAGAGTTCAAAGTTGAGAGCCTAAACAGTGTGTTTCTGTCTATATGAGACACTCAAGAAGAGTCAAACCAAGTTAAATCAGACATCTTTACCAGGCATGATAAGTAAAGCTCTAGCCTCAACAGTCACAAAGTCTGGATTAGCTACGATCAGGGGAATCCTTTCAGAAGCACATTGTTCCAATATTTTCTCAAGATCCTCAATACTCACTGGACAGATGTTACCAGAATGAAGGCCCAAGACTTCAGTTCCATGGACCAAAACAAACTCGGCTTCTTCAACATTCTCCACAACTTTTAAGCTTAAATGCTAATGAAAGAGATTTTATCATGTTAATCATAAATATCACAGCTCCCATCAAATGTTTTAGTTGTGAACTTGCATGCAATCTAAAAGTAACAGAGAAGGTAAAGCACTGCTAGTGCAAAAAATAAAGCATTTGCTTATGGCCAACCCAATCACTACATTTTTTATGGATTTCAATAAAGCAGCTAACAAGGGAAGAGATAGAATGTACAGTTACTTCTAAGGGCCAGCTTTATCCAAATTGTATTAGTTTATAAGCATTGGACTTCATACTCAATAAATGGTTCACACTTCACAGCTAAATAAGATGAATATGAAAATGTTATGCGTTTGTATAAGTCTGCATTGTATTAGTGTACATATGCTGTATTATATCCTCTAATTTCAGGAATTTGTATGTCAATGTATTGTTACCCACCCAATCCATATCTACATCACATGGAAGCAGTATGACACCCTGGCAGATTTTTTGAATTTAAGCCAAAAATTACAAATTCAAGAAGCAAGAGTGTGGGCATCCCAAATTCCTAATAACCTCACTACAAGCATCTTTTTCCAGAGGAAGAATCATTTTGCATCTTATGTCCAATAATTTCTGGTCTCAGAATTATAAAATACTAAATTAATCCCTCACATTCACCACCTTGTTAGCAGCAACCCTTAGTCTTTTCATTACTAAATTGCTAATATCCATAAAAGAAGAAAAAGAAGAGTTGGGGCACACAGGGTATTTAACATTTTGAAAACTCTATAGCTTACATAGAATTATAAAGAAATTATCATAAAACAATCTAACAGTAGCATACCTCGAGATATAGCACCCTTGTCACTCCAGGTTATATGAATGCAAGACCTTCTTAGTGCAGCAAACCAAGGATTATCTCTCCTACAAATAGAAACTAGGAAAAACTTCTTGTGATGTATAGTTACAAAAGTTCAAACAAAGGTGATATGCAAAATCATATTTACAACAGGATGTTTCATATATAAGAAAAAGAAATGCTAAGAATGAAAAAGAATAAATTGTTTCAATTCTTACCTCTTAGGGTTACAGAATACTATTTTGAATAAATAAATTATTTTTCTTTCTTTCATTTTTCTTTTAGGAACATAATTGAATTAATGTATGGCTCTTTCTAAAATATGAATGTTGCATTGAATAGTCTTAGATCAACAACTGAATATACACAATTTGCTAGCCCAAAAATTGGGTCTAATTATATAATTCCTGTCAAAATAATATTTATTTTTAATGTACAGTGACACAAATAATGAAATAGCCTAACAAGTTCATCATGAAAAGACTATCCAGCATAATAACAAATGGAGAAGGTGCCATTTCCACAGCACATAACCATAACAGGAAAATTAGCAAACCTTTGCAAGTATTGATGTGTTAATTCTCCACTGGTGATGGCTCCTTCAAAGAAAGAGGGATCAAATCCAAGGCTCTTCATTTTGTTCATTGTTGTTTATGCACGTCTTGAGGAATTACTTATAATCACCATCTTGGCACCACTGGTTGCCAATTTCCTACTGTCAAGCAAAGAAAAATGTATTTCTCTTAAGAATAAAAAATCATTAGCATATCACCATCCCAAAAAGCAAACACTTCTTTCTGCTGAAAGCCTTACCAAAATGGTAAAACTCACAGATGGGAACATACATGCTGAAATTGCACCAGCATAAGGTTGTTTGCCATCGTGAAGGACTCCAAATTGATCTAAGAACCAGGCCTACTCAAATAACA